GGCGCCGGGGTGTTGGGGGAAGGCGTCGCGGGGGCCGGTGTGGTAGGGGCTGGGGTAGGGGCCGGAGTCCCACCTGTTGCGTGGAAGACGAGATATGGTCGTCGACAGTGGGCCCCAAAGTACGGATGAGTGGAGGGTTAGGGTTAGGGTTAGGGGTAGGGTTTTAGTAAGGACGGTACGACGAGTGTATCGAATCGATTTACTCCTCGATAATTGCGAACAGTTGTTGTCAGGCGCTTGGGCTTTCATTTATCGAAGCCGTTGTGCAGTAAATGATCGGTGTCGTTCGTTCCGGATTTGGTTTCCTCACTTTCGCAGGTGCCTTCTTCGCCATCGTGAGCGCACCACCAGGTTATTGTAGGCTCTTCTGCCTCGCCGGCAAGGAAGTCGATAAGGTCCACCTCAATCGAAACGGTGTAGTCGCATAAGCAGGCCTTTTCGCCGATATCGGTGCAAGACTTTTGACCCTCCGTAGTCGCGCCACAAGACACCACATCGATCATGTCCGTACTCGGCTGAGATTCTGTAGGTCCCCCACAAGCGCATTCACCAGAGACGAATGGCGCGCTGAAGATGGCCACCATCACCGTGTGCAGCGGCAGGGTCCATAATTTTCCCCTCATCCTGACGTCGTCCGTTTTCTTTCTTCCCTTACTGCGCTTCACGAAAGTAAGGAGGCAGAGATTTGGGTACAATTCAGTTGGGCGTGCGAATGTGGATGGCAAAGAATGGTGGCGCGCTAGAGCAAAAACGCTGTTTTAGAGGCAGCAGGAAACTAGTGTGAATCAGAAACATTCGACATACATGACGAGATAGAAGGTCCGGAAATATCCGATGGATTTAAATCACCACATCCGTACGTGTGTGAAGCGATGCAATATGTTTCGTATGGAAGTGCTTGGGAGGACACATACGACCATTGTCTACGCCGATCCATTTTTGGGTAGCGCTGCTGGGGTAGATGTCAAAGCCCGTATACGCATGTAGTACAATGGCAGTCGTAATGCGCGGATAAATGTGGGGTCGGAACAGGGTAGGAGGAGGGCGTTGATTGTGCAGTTGACTGTCGGTCGAACAAGAAATACGAAGTGCTTCGATCCGTTCCTTCCTTCTGAGAGCTTGCGGTAGAGGTGGATTGTGGCGGATGTGTCACGTCTTGTCCTTTTTCCGAGCAGAAAAAAAAATTGGCCCGTCATCCAAAGGTCAGCAGTTATCTAGACAGAGGGGCCAAGAAGCGTTGCAACCTGCCATACTATCGTGATTTCACACCGCTTGTGTCAAGGGGCAGGAAATCGTACTAGTTTCGGTCATGACGTTTTGTCAATCGAACAATTGGTGCACGCTCTCTGTTGGACGACGAAACCTTTATTTCCAGGACCTGCTGAGAGCAATCGCTCTTGATATTTGATATTAAGCGACGGCGAGGAGCAAGCACACCTCTGTATACCATACAGTGATTTAACCACACCCAAAGCCCGCGCAGTGAAATTTTTCCTCGACCGTTGTCGATCCACTCACGGCGATACCCTAAGGCATCACACCTGGTTCCAGACGGACGCAGCGCGGACCTACCGGCCTTGCTGCTAATATTGTCTATTCACCGGAATACCATGCCACCAGCACTCTATCCTTCGCAAATTTGAACCAACTGCCTTTCGACGTAGGAATTTGAGAGTCAAACAGTACAGTTTTTGAGAACCGCATGATATTCTATCCGACACCAAACCTTGAGCGTAATAACTCGCCAGAAAGATATGAAACCCCCTTCGGGGACTGATCGGTACAAAACCAAACACGTGACGATCAAAACGCCGAACTTAAACGACAGATGGCCCCCGCACTTAAGAACCGCTCATTGTGGCTGCCTCAAGCGGAGCACCTGTTCTAATATTCAAAGTCCGTATTTCGAGCAGGCATTTATGTATGATAAACGGGGTGCTTTGTTCTTAGTTATCTACGCCAAGAGTCCCACGGCCCCTTTCTTTTTTCGGCGTATGATCATTCTGACACTTGAGAGCAGCGTGTTCATGTAACAAATAGAAGGTGCCTCAACAGAGACTTCTGACCCCGACGAACCGCAGCTTCTGCGATCACCACAGGGTACAAAAACAGACGCGGCATCGCTTGAGTTGTTGACGCATCTGGGCAACATTGAACCGCTAAAGGTTCACAACAAGTCACGTTCGTCGTCATCACGCTCCTCTCAAGCAAGGCCCACACCCTTACCACCGCCTCCGCATCATGACTGTACTTGTCCAACGGCAATTCATGCGGCGCGTGCTTGGTCTAGCTCGATATGCGCACGGTAGTCGTAACGGTGGCGGTTAGGCGCCTGAGCTGTCGAGTAATCAGCTCATCAAGTCTAATAGTCCATGCGCACCACCCTAAGTTATGTTCTCCAAGAATTAATTCCGTCACACAACTTATGAACGTTCGGCTTCGAAAGTTGATGAATGATGATGCGCACCCTCGGAGGAAGGTGGGGTCCGAATAAAAATATATACTAGATCGGGAGGTGGAATAGTTTTTTTGTGGTGGTTGCACAAAAGTACCTGCAGTAGGCTCGTGCGTCTGATACAGAACAACGGGGGGCGGTCCATCATCACCAGCTAGAGAGGTNCAGCTAGCGAGGGGGGTGCTATCCATCGTCAGCCGTGAGGGGGGGGTGCTTTCATCAGAGGGGGAAGAGGGTGCTATCCATCGTCATCAGCTAGAGAGGAAAAAAAAATACGTTGAAAAATCCCCGGCTCTCTAGCTGCTGCTGCTGCTGCTGATTGTTTGAACAGGACGCTTCCGCCACCGCTTTAGATAACAGCAACAGCAGCAGCAGCAGAGGCGACACACCCTCTCGCCCACAATGAGTGTAGAGAGGTGCACAGCACAGCAGTGGTACTACATCGTCTAGGAACGAGCGTGATGTGTTACTGGTCCCGTGCTGTGATGTATGTGTGCCTCTCTCCAGAGCAGAGTCAGAGGCCGCTCCCTCCCGCCGCGTCGCAACACAATAACAACAACCAACCGATGGACCCACAGAGACCCAATCAATATCTCTCCTCTCGCTTCCTCCGCCGAAAGCTAGCAGCAGCAGTAGTATAGGGCACACCCTGCTCCCGTCCCGCTCTCGCTGTGTGGTGTGTGCAACACACGCTGGTTGGTGGGACTCCCTCTCTCTCCAGAGAAAAAAAGGCGAAAAAAAGGCCGGCAGCGTTGAACAACAACAACAAACAACGGAAACAGCAAAAACAACATCATCAGCGATGAACCCCAGACCAACCAAACGTTCCCCGCTTCCTCCGCCGTCGCTAACAGCAGTATGTGTGTGTGTCCCGCCCCCCTTGTCCATGTTCCCTGTCTCTGTGTAGTGCGTGTCTTGCCAGTAGCAGCAGCAGTGTGTGCAGCACGGCAGTGCGTCGTGGTTTCTTGCGTGCGTGTAGTTTGTTGCCCAAAGAAAAACAAAAATGACGACGCCTCCCGGGGATGCGTCCATGTGACATATATATTTGCACAAACGGTGTGCTATCTCGAGACACCGACCACGGATTGCAAAGGTAGCGGTTGGGACAGCTCGGGCAAAATATTACTTGTTGTGCGCAAGTTTTAGTTTGCAATTTGGTGCCGAGATGGTGAAATGGGCTCGAGTCTGCTGTGTATTTAGGGCGCGCAGACAGCAGACAGACACCAGACACCAGACACCAGACAGACAGCCATCGCGTAATTTTCACGCCCCTAGGCATGAAAATTATTCTTTTTCTCGTGCGCACATACTCCACACACGATCCCTCTAAACAGCTTTTTTTTTGCAAAACAAAGCAAAAAGCGCACCCCTAACGGGCCAAAAAACTATTATTAAGAACAAACAAAAGCCCTGGTGTTCACCTTGGTTTGCCCCCTCCTGTGTGACCCTGGATGGTTGTTGTACGACAAAATAAATAAAAAGTGTAGAACTCTACGTACACCGAAGAGTGTAGCACACGTCTCAACACGAATGAATCATAGTGGGACTATCGCCAAAATAAATGGGACGAAAATACACACCCTAGATGATGAGTTCCCAACAAACGAGAACCAAGTCTAAAACAAATGAAAAGGAGCCTCGAATCGAACGATACTCTGACCGGCGCGCTATGCCGACAACACCTCCAATCAGACAGGAAGCAGATGGACAACCGACCCCCAAAAGACAGGAAGCAGTTCGTCAAGAGTGCGACGAAACGACAGGAGGCAGCACATTGTTTCTATTCCCCGGGCAACAACACATATACGACTCACGACACGCGAGCTCGACAGCCCTACAGCATTGTTAGTGCGACAGACAGCAGGTATGAGAGTGGGATGTGGGAGACTCGAGGAGTGAGGAGCGTGCGCAACCGAACGTGAGCAGGCGTCGACATGCAGCGTCACCCATGGTTGTGTCATATCTTAAGATTACACAGGCGACGACCACGCCTTAAGATCGAATAAACTCCTCTTCTCCATAAACAACCTCAGGAAGTCAATCTTGTTTGTGCGTACACATGGATTCCACCGAGCTAAATAACGAATGAATCCCGTGCGGCGGCGGATGACTGCAGATACACAAATCGTCGAATCCTGTGTGTGTGTGTTATTTTTTTGTTTGTTTTTTCTCCCGTCATTGGACTCTGTCATCTGCCCATCTGGCGCCCATCCTCCACTTCTAGTCTACTAGCTAGAAGACCCGATCGGGGTCACATAGGAGGGGGGGGTTGGACCCCCTCCTGCGGTTCCTGCCTGAGATATATTTATCGCGAGCAGGATATACAGCAATCCCTTCCCTCGCTACTTATGAAGTAGATCGAGTATGTTAACAACGAGCTTTGCAGCGCGTCGCTTCCAATTTAAACAAGGATATAATTGGTGAAAAATAAACCAACTCTGCCGAGACTCGAACCCATGACGTGGCCAATAGCAGTTTGCGAGGGTACCCATTACATCACCGGGGTACACATGAATCCTGTGTGTGTGTACAAATTACATGGATTCCACTTCCTGTATGAGCGTACACATGGATTCCACTGAGCTAAATCGGCGGGTGACTGCAGCCTAAAAGACTTTGCTGACATACAGATTGCTACCGAGCGACTGAGGTGGACTTTGTAAGTATGGAAGACTTCATCAACAGGTGACAACTGTAGGACATGAGTGAGGGNAGAGAGAGAGAGAGAGAGAGAGAGAGAGAGAGAGAGAGAGAGAGACCGAACAAAGAGAGGGACACGGAACGCGAGTGGGGGGATCTCTGGTCGCGGAAACGCGTGTAGGATGACTGCAGCATGGGCGGGTGTATGTGTGTTCGAAAAAAATATGAGCGAGCTCTGAGGCCCAACATCAATTTGACAAGTCTAAACCTTCATCAGCGCCGAAGCATGAGTCCTCCCAAAGCTGGCAGTAAGCACTACAACCTCCGCGGGCATGCGTTGGTGGGGTGAGGTGTGCAACAGCACCCATCCTGGCGTGGTGTTGACCAAAGCAGCTAAAAGCTGAAAGATGAAAAAACTTGAAAAAGTTCAGCATCAACAGACACCAGCTGCCCTTCGTACAAAAAAAGCTTCATAGGGTCGAAAGCTCACTTTTTAGGAGTTTTTTCCGCGCGCGAAGCGCGCATGCGAAAATAAAAACGGAGCGATAGCGGAGTTTTTTTTCGCAAAAAAACTGTTTTAGATGGGTCCTTTTGTTTCCCAGCCTGCGTTCTGCGCACGTTGAATAACACCGCCTGTCAGCCCGACCCCTGAATNCAAAAAAACTGTTTTAGGAGTTTTTTCCGCGCGCGAAGCGCGCATGCGAAAATAAAAACGGAGCGATAGCGGAGTTTTTTTTCGCAAAAAAACTGTTTTAGATGGGTCCTTTTGTTTCCCAGCCTGCGTTCTGCGCACGTTGAATAACACCGCCTGTCAGCCCGACCCCTGAATTAATTACTGTTCTCAAATTGATGCCCATGTGTGTGTGCGTGTGTTGTTATTACTAGCATCGACCGCGCTAACCGGCTGACCAATTAAAAGACGTCAGTGCCAGCGGGTAAAAATCAAGGTCCCTGGAAGGGGACCAAAATTCGAAAAATGCGCAATGCGCTTGATGCGAATGCCAATACGACTCTCTCCACATGTTCTTTCACGTAGACACACATCTCAGCTACACAAATGCATTCGCTCGAATCTAGGAAGCCACTGATGCAAAGAGCGGAG